CCTAATGGCAGCAAAATTGCACAGTTCTGGGTGAGAAAGGGCAGCAAATCCAGAAGGAACCTGAAGAGTCACTGGTTTTAGGGTTGGTGGGCAGATTCCTGCTGCAAGGATGACGGGTGCCACCAGGAGCCTGATAACTTGTCTGAAGATGGTCCCACGAGCCATAGCCTTTCCAGACCAATTGAGGCCACTGTCCACTTCTCATGGCCAAGCATAATGTCTGGGCAAGGAGGGCGATCCTGAAGGAGAGCTCACCTCCCTTGGGTCTATGAGCTTGGGTTTGGGCCTTCTTCTTTATCACTGTTATCATCTGCCAGGTTTCCCCAAACACAGCTCTGGCTTCAGAGACTCAGAGATCATGAAGCTAAGGAGCCAGGATTGGAATGGGACATTCCCCCAGACAGGCGGGAGAGGGAGGAGGAGCCTGCAAAGCAGATGGTGCAGCCCAGCCATAGGGCGGGAAGATTTGAACTAGCACAGTGCTGTGGGTTCCTAAGAACCTCAGAAGGTAGAATCAAACTTGTCAAATGCTGCAGAAATCAGAGGTGAGGGCTATGGAAGTTTAGAAAAGGTTGTTCCTTTTAGGAAATAGTTTGTTATGATAAAAGAATATTCTGATTGCAAGGGGAGGAGGTGTGTAAGGAGATGGGGGCATCAAGAATTTACTATTTTAAGAACCTGGTGGCCCGGCTGGCTTGGCTCAGTGTTTGAGCATTGACCTATGAACCAGGAGGTCTCTGTTCAATTCCTGGTCAGGGCACATGCCCTGGTTGTGGGCTCAATCCCCAGAATGGAGCATGCAGGAGGCAGCCGATCAATGATTCTCTCTTATCATTGATGTTTCTACCTCTCCCTTCCTCTCTGAAATCAAATACACACACACACACACACACACACACACACACACACACACACACACACATACCTGGTGTTCAAAAGAAGTAGAGAGACATTTAAGAAGGTTAACAGATAACCTTGGTGTGTGTACCAATGACAGCTCCAAATATGGTATCTGACATACATGATAGGAGGGCTGGGAAAATTTGTCTCCTCAAGGAAGGGGTTTAGAGAAAAAGCTTCAAGATTTATGTTTTTTAAAGTTTCTGCTGGTCTAATCACAAAAGATGGGACAGCAGATGCATTCTTTCAAGTAGAGGCCCTCTAGCAATATCCACACCCAAGGCTTGGCCAAAGGACCAAGCTCTGGGAGGAAGGGCTGCGCTCTTCACCCTGGGCACTGGAGGCCTGCCTGGTTCTCCCTCCCTTCCCTCCGGCTATCAGTGCATCTCTACTTTCAAGGCCCAGAGGTTTAAGAGGCACACTTCCCAGGCTGCCTCCTCTCCTCACAAGCTGCAGAGGACCTGGGAGAGAGGGGGCTCTTTGGTGGCCCTAGTTATTTCAGGTTCATCTACCCTTTAGCAGGGGATTGGAGAACCTGCCCTTTTATTTCCATAAGGGAGCAAATAAATAAAAACTTGGAATGAGATTTCTGAAGGATTACAAGTATTAACTCCTGCTGTAAATCCTCTTGGGGACAGGCAGTGACTGAATGGTCAGGGTTTGGAGCAGAAGAGGTGAGGGGAGAGCTGAGGGTTGGCTCTCAGGTCTCGGAAATGAAATGAGACTGGATTGAACTCCCCACTGGCAGTGGCTTCCGAATTCTCTGCCTTGGGAATGTACTTCAGCTTCTATTGCAACCAAGAATTGTGTTGTAAAGTGTGCCCAGCAAGGCATAGGAATGCTCCCTGTGAAAACACTCTGCTGAGATTTGATCTTTCGTTTCAGCAGGTGGAAACTGAAAGAAACTAGAAGGCTCTGCCAACAATGGATATTTCCAGATGTTTGACGTGGGCTGTCTTTAGCTGTCTATTTTGATAGGAGCCAAGAACGGTACAAGCAGAACTGAGTTCCGGGTGGAGACTCATGCTCATTTTTTTCCCCTTAGGCAAGGCACCCCACCTTATCCAGGTCTTCCAATTCCAGGACAGCCAGGGTCAATCATTGATAAGCCTGATGATGATGATGATGATGATGATGATGATGATGATGATGATTGTGCTAATAACAGGAATTTCACTGTGTCAGGCACCATATCAAGTGCTCTACAAATATTTGCTTTGCTTAATCCGTTCATTACCCAGGGAGATTGCCATTTCTCATTCCCAGAAGGGGTAGTGGTAAAAGTAGGTCACCAGCACTTTTATTCATTATATGTTGACTTGTGTTAACAGCAGCTGCTCTGCTCAGTAACTCTGCTAGATGCTGAGACTAGTGCGGAAAGGAATGCGTGCACTATGTTATAGGTAGTATGATGAGTCTTGGGGTCATGTGCAGGCGTTGTTGAGTTGAGTGCAAGCTTTCATTTGGGATACCTGGGCTACACGGCTGACTCCACTCCCTGGGGCAACTGCCTTAACTTTTCTGTGCTCCCTGTTCTGATCTGAATCAAGGAAATAAGTGTGCCTTCCTCATGGGACAGTTGGGATGATGAAGGAGATAACCAATGTGAAGCATTTAGCACAGCACTTGCATATAGTAAGCTCACCATATATTAGTTATAGCCATACTTCAAATGAACTGTGTACTTGTTAGAAAGACATTAGGGGGTTATTAATCTCCAGGATTTGAGAAGATAGGAAAATAGAACATTCTGGACATACCTGGAAAACAAAGAACCGAAACATAATTAATTCAGAATGGTTGTAGTATGCCTCTCTTGCTTTTGCCTGGACAGCACATACTCTCTCTTCCTCTGGTGAAACTGCCCAGCTTTACTGGAGATGGCTCTCCCTGTTCCATGGGGTTCTGACCTGGTTCTCCCGCATCCAGGCCAGAGGGACTCCTCTCTGTTTCCCTCCGGATTTGCCAAGCTCTGGGATGAGCAGCCAGGCTGCTGACAGTCCTCTTCCCCATGCTGTGGGGAGATCTGCCCAAGGTGTGGAGAGGAGTCAGAGCTCCGAGGAGGTCATCTGAATCTCCAGACCCAGATGTGCCTGGAACTGGATGCACACCTGGATGCCCCTGACTTGGGATTTTAATAGTTCTCTTTTTTTGCTTAACCTATTTGAATTCAGTTTCCATCTTTGTAATTGAAAGAGTATTCCAGATACAGTTATAAATGCTATTTGAACACATCTCCAAATCCTAGGTATACTCCAATTTTGTATTTTATTACTTACAGGATATTTTAGTCTGCTCACAGCTTGCAAAAGGTAATAATAATTCCACCTATGCCTGAGCTCTCTGCCAGTCTGACAACAAGGTTCAGGTTAAGTAATTTGTTCAAAGAATAAGGAGCAGAGGTGGGATTCAAACTCAAGTTTTTCTGACTAAAATCTGAGTTTTCACCCTTTCGTCACCTTGGGGGAAAATGTTTTCCATCTGAATGCATGATAAGTCAGTGAATAAATGGGTTAATTTAGCAAAGTTCACTTTAAATGTCTTTTGTGGGTCAGATTCTTGTGGAGAATGACAACTGGAAGTGGTGCTTTATATTGTCTCACTCAAGCCCAACCTGCCTATCCCATACCCCACCAGTCACACAAAAGCCTTATTTCCAAGAGAAAAGCTTGATGTCCTCTCCTAGGAAACACGAAATTAGTGCATAGTTCACAGTCACTTCTGTGCAAAGTAAACCATGAGGAGACAGGGCTGCGAGTCGCATTTGCCTTCAAGTAGCTTGCTCTCCAGTGGTAAAGATACACATACAATGAGCGACATCTCTTGCAAGCCAGTTAGACATGTGTTGCCATCAGGGTAAAAAAAAAGGGGGGGGGGGCTATAGCCACAGAGGAAGGTTCCAGCACTGGTGGGGATGGGTACATCAGGGAAGAAAGGTTTCAAGGAAAAGTGCTGAGCAAAGTGTTGAGGCACGGAAAGAATTCCTCAGAAGAAGGCAGACCCAGGTGGTCTAAGAATTCATGTAGCTGGAACCTGGAACACTACAAGGATTCATTGCTTGCCTGCTCTCTGCAGGCATTGTGCTGGGAGCCAGGAATACAACAGGGATAGAGTCTCCACCCTCACAGTGCTTATGGTTTGGTGGAGACGAAACAAGGGTATGCAGTGAAGAGCAATGAGTATATAAAACTCAAGCAAATGCAAGGTGCTGGGAGCCTATAGCAGAGGCCCTGCTTAGGGACCATGGAGCAATGGAGGCCAGTCCTGGAGACCTGTGATAAGGTGTCATTTAGGGAATGGCAGGTTGTTTGCTAGAGCATTTCTGTGTAGGCTGGAGCCAGGAGATGAAGTGAGAGGATACGGAGGGACCTAATGGAGACCAGCATTGAGATCAATAAGGAGATAAGACGAACCCCACCCTCTGGCATTGGCATTAGCTAAATGTGAAGAATTCGCCCTAGGCTCAGTGGATAGGTGTTGGCCTGTGGACTAAAGGGTCCCTGGTTCAATTCTGGTCAAGGGCACATATCCAGGTTGTGGGCTCAGTCCCCAGTAGGGAGCGTTCAGGAGGCAGTCGATCAATGATTCTCTCTCATCATTGATGTTTCTATCTCTCTTTCCCACATCTAGCAAAATGGATTAGAGGCTTGTGACAAAGAACTCCAGTTGTTTCTCTAGCTGTAGTTACTAATCCCTTCGTCCGCAGTGCATCCTCACCGAGTTCTGAGTTCCCATCTTTTTCTCCATCATCTGTGACACACAGGCCCAGCTTCCTTCCTTACCTGTGAATAACCTCGCAGGAGTGGCCTCCTGGAGATGGCAAAGCAAGTACCCACCCCAACCTCATGGCATTTCTTCCCTTTTTTCTCTGCCCATCTTCTCTGAGCCACGTGGACAGCAGTCACCCCTGACCTGGAGGTGGGCTTTAGTTCTCACCTCCCCCAGGGATGGCTTGGCAAGAGGGAAGAGAGAGCGAATTGGAGAAGGTAAACACCAAGACCTCTGCTTCTCTCTCTCTCTCTCTCTCTCTCTCTCTCTCTCTCTCTCTCTCTCTCTCTCTCCCCAGCCTGCCTCTTCTCTCATCTGCCATTTCCCCGCAGGTCTCCACTTTGGCACCAGCATGTATGATACTCGGACACCTCTTCCTAAAAAACGAAACAGCAGACCAGAATGGAGTCACTTTTGCTAAACGGCACCACCAAGTCAAAACTCAATACCTAGCCTGATTGGCGTTTCAGCCTCTTCCAGGAGTAGAATTTTAAACTAGTCTGGGACTTCCTGACCAACACAGTGGGGTCATCTGCCTGGTAAGACCCCCTGCCTTCCCCTACGAGAAGGGGCCCCTGCCTGAAACAATCCACTCTTTTAGCTTCTTAGCCCCATGCTCGTTCTGCCTATAAAAACCTTCCATTTTGTACAGCTCATAGAGCCTCCTTCCAGTTGCCAGATGAGATGCTGCCGGATTCATGAGTTGCTCAATAAAGCCATTTAGGTCTTCCAATGTACTCGGCTGAAGTTTGGGTTTTGACAACATATCCAGATATGCCTCTCCATCTTGAATGTGGAGAGGGCCGCTACTGGTGGATTTGTGTGTAGACTTTGTCTTTCTCCACGAGAGCTCGGTGAAAACAGAATGAGGCACAGAGGACAGCTTTTTAATCCCCGGTCCTCCTCCCCTTTATTACTGTACATGAAGACCCTGAGGATTCATTTTTTAAGCTTGTGTTGGGGATGAAAAGTAAGAGAAAAACTCGGGTTATAGCTTGTTCCTCAATGAAAAGGTAGCAGAAGTTTTCACAGATACAGACAGCCACGCCTTGGGGCCACTGGAAGAAAATGAGTGGCAAGAATACCCCTGAAAATTAAGTGGGCACAGTTATTTTCACCATAGACTGTATCCTCAGCCTTCATCATGATGACAATTTGCTCTCCTGGGTTTTAACCAATAAGGATCAAACACACTTGATCTTGAATGTGAATGTAGAAGTATGAGGGTAAAATAATGCTACTGCTGATTAGAAATCGTGTGCCACTATGGAATACAGTATGGAATTTTCTCAAAATATTAAAAATAGAACCACCATATGCCCCAGCAATCCCACTTCTGTGTATTTATCTGAAGAAATCCAAAGTACTAATTTGAAAAGATATTTGCATCCCTATGTTCACTGCAGTGTTTATAATAGCCAAGCTATGGAAGTATCTATAGATGATTGGATTAGAAAGAGGTGATATATATATATACAAACACACACACACAATGGAATATTATTCAGCCATAAAAAGAATGAAATCTTATTTGTGACAGCATGGGTGGATCTAAAGGGTATTATGCTAAGTGAAATAAGTCAGACAGAGAAAGACAAATACCATATGATTTTACTTATATGTGGAATCTAAAAAACAAAATAAATGAACAAACAAAACAGAAACAAACTCATAGATACAGAGGACAAACTGGTGATTGCAGATGGGAGGGTGTGGAGGCTGGGTAAGAAATGTGAAGGTATTAAGAAGTACAAAAATAGTCACAGGGATGTGAAGTACAGCATAGGAAATGTAATCAATAATATTGTGATAACTATGCATGGTGCCAGCGGTACACTAGACTTATCAGGGGATCACCGCCTAAGTTATACAAATGTCTAACCACTATGCTGTACACCTGAAACTAATATACTATGGAATGTCAACTATAATTGAAAAATAAAAACAAATTTTAAAAAAAAGAAATTCTTGCCCAGTTGGTGTGGCTCAGTGGTTGAGCATTGTTCCATGAACCAGGAGGTCACAATCCCATGCCTGGTCAGGACACTTGCCCAGGTTGAGGGCTCAATCCCCACCCAGTAGAGGATGTGCAGGAGGCAGCTAATTGATGATTCTCTCTCATCATTGATGTTTCTAGCTCTCTTTTTCTTCCTCTCCCTTCCTCTCTCTGAAGTCAATAAAAACATATTTTAAAAAATAAATTTTGAATCTATATACACCAAGTAGGAGTCGTTCATTCTCCTGTGTGAATTAAAATGGGATTAAAAGAAAAGAATGCCACTGCTCATCAATAAGGAAACCACATTCCGCCTTTGCCTCTGCATAACCAGCTGTAGATCTACGACTGACCACTAGGTGGAAGACGAGGATAAAAGTTTTCCTGAGAGGGATCTCTCAGTTGGAGTACTAGGCCTTTCTGGTTCTCTTCTTGCTGTGTTTCTACAATTTGTTTCAGGCTAATTCTCTCAGGGGACATTTTGGAGGCAATTACAGGGAACTCTTTGAGGCATGAAGGTTATCTAGGTCAATGATTCTGAAAGTGTGATTCCCAGATTCCTGGGAGTCACTAAGACCCTTTTGGGTAGCGCCCTGAGTTAAACTCTTTTCAGACTAATACCAAGACATAGTCTTTCTCTCTGAGTTGATATATCTGCACCAACAATGCAAAAGCAATTGTGTTTAAAACAGCTGACACCTTTGCATGAATCAGGATATGGAAACCAAACTATCACTGTTTCCTCACCATCACATTTTAGCAGTAGTAGTAATAATAATAATAATAATTAGCTAGTTTCATCTATGAATGTCCTTGATCAAGCAGTATAATGATTAGTTTTACTAAATCTAGACCCTTGAATTCATATTTAGTGAGACAAAGTCGGAGTACATATAAAACAGTTCTGGCCGAAACCGGTTTGGCTCAGTGGATAGAGCGTCAGCCTGCGGACTGAAAGGTCCAGGGTTCGATTCCGGTCAAGGGCATGTACCTGGGTTGTGGGCACATCCCCAGTGGAGATGTGCAGAAGGCAGCTGATCAGTGTTTCTCTCTCATCGATGTTTCTGACTCTCTGTCTCTCTCCCTTCCTCTCTGTAAGAAATCAATAAAATATATTCAAAAAAAACAAAAAACAGTTCTGCACATCAAAGTAGGTGATATTATTGAAGAAAAACACTTGTACAACCTCAACAAGACTCCCCTTTTTTGAATAACCATTTTTACTTTTTAAAGGGTCTGGAAAAATGAATTATAGTGTCTAATACTTCAGTATTTGGCAGATATGTATCCAAAAGTAAGGTGAGCTTATCCCTTTGAGGAAACCAACTAACAATATTTGTGTCAATGATAAATTTTGAGCTTTCCAGTGAAAACTAGAAATTTGGAAAATTTGAATCAATAACCATGAGCTTCACCAGTTCTCTATTATTGAAGTTTTTTATTAATTTGATAGTAACATTCATGAATTTGATATTGTGTCATGAAATGTGTCAAAAATTTGAAGATCTGCATAAACTCAGTGAATCATGAGTAAAAAACCTATTCAAAATGCAAGATAGACCAATAGATTTTAATGTAACCGAGTAAAAAAGGTTCATTGACATGGTTTTAGATTCCACATTGTTACTAATCTTTAAGATACTAATTAATATTGGAAATTTGGTGCAGTGTCAGTAGCTACATGCATATCTGAAGTCCTCTCCCTTTTCCAACTGCTTATCTGTGTGAGGTTGAATTTTCTTCACATGCTTCCACTTAAACAATATATCACAACAGACTGAATGCTGAAGCAGATATATGAGACTCTGACAGCCACTAACCACCAACTCTCCCATATTTTAAATAGACATTTGAGGAAGCCAGTGTCTTGATTTGTTCCCTTGTCCTTTCATTTCTACGGATAAACATGACTTCGCCTTTGTCTACAAACTCTTTTCTTTAGAAAACAAGATCTTGACCAAGATAATTTTACTTGGTTATCTGTGCTTTGCCACCAGCAGTCTGATTATATCACCTTGTTTTGTAAATATTTTGTAGTTTATAAACACCATATGGTCCAGTCACATACCCTAAGAAAAATGAGGTCAAGAAGGTACTTACCCACAGTCATAGAGTAATATAGCAGAAGCCTAACCAACTTGCTGGGGTCCAGCCCCAGCGGGTCCAGGGGTTCCCCAAAGGTGTGGACGGAGTCAGCGAAGAAGGAATGACAAGGAGTCAGCGTTCAGTTGATCAGCAGCCTAGCCAGGATCTCTAGCCAAGTTCTGTTCAGAATCTCCAGCAAAGTTCTGGTTAGGATCTCCAGCCAGGTTCTGTGTCCATGTTCTCTTGCTAGGTTCTCCAGCCAGGTTCTCTAGCCAGGTTCTGTAGCCATGTTCCCTCGCTAGGTTCTCCAGCCAGGTTCTGTCCAGGTTCTCCAGCCAGGTTCAGTCACTAGGTTCTAGTCAGGTTCTCTTGCCATGTTCTATCCAGGTTCTGTAGCCAGGTTCTGTCTCTAGGTTCTTCAGCCAGGTTCTCTCGCTAGGTTCTGTCTCTAGGTTCTGTGGCCAGTTTCTGTCCAGGATCTTTTGCCATGTTCTCTCGCTAGGTTCTGTCTCTAGGTTCTGAGGCCAGTTTCTGTCCAGGATCTTTGCCATGTTCTCTCCAGCAAAGTTCTTCTGTCTCTAGGTTCTGTGTAGGTTCTGTGTCTAGGTTCTGTGTCTAGGTTCTGTGTCTAGGTTCTGTGTGTAGGTTCTGAGTCTAGGTTCTATGTCTGTGTTCTGTCTAGGTTCTGTGTCTAGGTTCTGTGTCTAGGTTCTGTGTCCTGTTGTTACATTTGTATTTATACCAGTTGATTCCAATCCTATCAATCTCTATTCCAAAGGTTAGGGCATTTCTTATCTCCATTCCAGGGAGTAAAGATTATGTAGCTTAAGCATGATTGTTCGTAGTTAAAGTGATTAATTACCCACCTGGCACTTAGTTAAGGGGTTTTATTCCCTCCCTAACTTCAGGGGAAAATCCCTACCTTGGGAAACAACCTTTCTCAGAGAGGTGACCTTGGTTAAAACACATAGTGCCAAGAAGGTGAGCAAACATATTAAGAACAGTATGCCATATATGCCAGGTCCCTTGAAACAGCAAGGATGGACCGGCTCCTGGCACCAACTGGCTTTTGGATTCAAGGTTGGCTTCCCCATTACACTGCTCCTTCTGGAAAGCAGTTCTCCACTTTGGTAGTTTGTTAGAGGAGGAAGAGAAGAAATTAGAGACCAGTCAATCCTGTATTTGGTAGAGACCTAGTCTGTCTCACTTAGGCAGAGCTGACTGACAAGGGTGAGATTCTTGTGTGTGGTAGGTGACAGTCCCAACTACATGCAAACAATTCAGATTCTTTATTCAAGTGACAGAGAGCAGTGGGAAGAGGGAGTAAATCCCATTTGTTTCAGAATCAAAGGCAGTGCTCCTTCCAGTTGAGCCCCCAAGGGGGCACTTGAGGTTTTAACCTGTCTTTACAAGTGAGGTGGCCTGATACAGGTCATGGGGTACTGGGCTCCCTTTTAA